AGAAATAACCACCATTTTCCGTAGACTTCTGTCATCAGAGAGTTGCCTGTTCTAGAACTTTATATAAAATTAATATATATGTGCTTTTCTGTCTGGCTTCTTCACATGTTTTAAAAATTCATCTAAAAAGAAAAAAATTCATTAAAAAAAAAAAGGCGCCCCTGGCCAGCTCAGTTGGTAGAGCATGCGACTCTTGATCTTAAGGGGGTGAGTTCGAAAACCCACGTTGGGCATGGCACTTACTTAAAAAGGGGTGGGGGGGAATTCATCTACATTGTTGCATGTATCAATTTGGTTCCTTTTATCAGTGAGTAATATTCCATTGTACTAATATACCATGAGTTTTTAACCCACTTTCTTATTTATAGATAGGTGCTATTTCCAGTTTGGCTTATGTGAATAGAGCTACCATGAGCACTTTTTGTGCAAACTTTTGTTAACATGTTTTCGTTTCTCTTGGATAAATACCAAGGAGTGGAATTGCATATAAGTTCATATAGTAGATACGTATTTTAACTTTTAAGAAATGAACAGCTTTCCACAGGTGCCTGGCTGGCTCCATTGGTAGAGCGTGTGACTCTTGATCTCGGGGCTGTGAGTTCGAGCCCCACAGTGGGCGTAGAGATTACTTAAATAAATAAAACTTTTAAAAATTAAAAAAAAAATTGATAGCTTTCCAAAGTTGGGGCCTGCCCTCTTACCCCATATTCCACAGATTTGTTGTAAGGAAGAAATTAGATAATGCACCTGAAGAGCTTAGCGTGGTGCCTGGCAAGTAAGGGCTTCACTGATAATAGCTGTATGTGTATGTACTCTCTAGCTGATAATGCCTCATTCTTCCATCCTTGAGCAGTAGGCCCATGTATCTGTCTTCCTGCTTCTCTGATGTCGGAACTTGGCTGCCCCCACACAACTCCAACTCCGCTTAGACCAAACCGAACTCCTCCCAGCCCTCAGCCCCAAATGTGGGTCTCCTTTCGCATGCCTACTATGCCGAGCCCTCCCAGCTGCCTAAGCCTCACCCCTCCTTGCACATCCCACACATGACCCGGGCTTCTTCAGGTGGCCGGCCCCCGCCATTACTTCCCTAGTTCTAACTTTCCTCACTGTCTCCCGGACCCCTTACAGTGGCGTTGTAACTGAGGTGCATGCCTTGAGGATTGCCATCCACAGTTCATTGCCCACACCTCACCCAGAGGGATCTGTCCGTAACACAATCCTGATCCTGTCCTGGTCCAGTCAGAACCCTTAATGGCTTCCCAAGATACAGTCTCTTCTAGTCCTTCCAAGACCTTCATGCTGGAGTTCCATCTCCTCCCTCCTTTCATAAGCACGGCTCCCACACGCTTATGAGTGTTCTTCCCACACTCTATCTTCTGCTTAGAGGCCTTGCCCTTGCCTGTGTTGCTTGTTCTACACAGAATAAATACCGTCCCCTCCCTTACCTCGCCCTTCCCCGTCCCCTCACCTAGCATCTACCTGTCAAGACTCAGGATGTTTGTAAGTGCCAGGAAGCTTTCTCTGTCATCCAGCTCTTTCCCCCTCGGGTTGGAGTAAGTGCCGCCCAGCCCATGTGCTCTGGGGTAGTCCTTGTGGCCCTGTGCTGCCTGCTACCCGCCTGTCCCCACCCTCGACTGTGAGTTCTCAGAGGACGGGTACCGGGTTTTGCTCATGCTAGTGTCCCGAGCACCTAGAACACAGCAACTCTCAGTAAATGTTTGGGAAATTGAACAATTGTATCGATGGTATTAGAAGTTACTTCACTTGCTGCTGGACCTACTGGGGATGAGTGATCAGGGAGTGAAGCCAGCAGCATTTGGAATTGCCGAGTCCTTACTTGTTTGTCTTGTTCTCCTAGCCCGATGAGAATTCACTGGATTTTTCCTCTTGTATGCTACGGCCTGGGATTAAAAATGCTCAGGAACTTGCCTGTGGGGTGTGCCTTTTAAATGTGGACTCCAGAAGCCGGGTGAGTGACACACCTTCCCCCTGCAGATGGCACAGCGCTTCCCTGACATGACCCCTGGGGATGACCCCATCCAGCCCACTTCACTGCAAGGTCTACGACCACAGGTGGGGATTTTTATAAAGCCCTGAAGTCTGACACAGAAGTACATGTACTCTTACAAAAGGGCAGTAGGGGGAGCCATTGAGTGAATGGAGGTAGTTCCTCCCTCTCTAACAGAATGCTGTCTGCACTGTGCTCGCGCCCTGTGCACAGTGGGGTGGTAGAGAGAGGTGAAGCCTGTAAGGCTTTGTTTGGGGGCAGGAGGCCCTGTCCTGGGAATTTTGTTGACCTTATGGTTTCAACGTTATTTCAGAAAGAAGAGAAGCCTGCAGAAGAACATCCCAAAAAAGTATGAACCAGTTATACACGATCTTAGCATCTCCATCTTAATTTTGAGTGTGGAAAGCCAATCAGATGATTCCACTGCCATCCTGAACTGTTGTGACCATGAATCCTCCCTTTACTGTCTGTTCCCATAGTCTGTTTGATTTGACCAGCTAGTGTGTCTGCGTGGGTCCACTTGTCTTGTTGCATGTTCGTAGCTCTTGTAATTGGCTTCTGGTGTTACAAGTCATTTTTCCCTCTGTGATGAACAAGGTAACAGAATGAGCAACTTCTGGAAGACTGGAAGTTGTGACATGGAGCAAGATCAGAGAGCGTCACGATTTGGCAGTGATCAAAAACAAATTGGGGTTTAGAGTTCTGTGTTACTTGTTTACTTGTAGTGCTTTAGGACACCCTCCAGGGAACTGAGGTGAGGACTGGCTGGCTGTGACTTACCTGTAAGCATTAGTCATCTGGAAGTAATTCTGACCTGTTCAATGTCTTTATTTTTACAAATCCTATACCTATTTGGACTTTTTAATTACGTTGATTCCGTTATCAGGTCCCAGTTGGCATTCGACCCTGAGAGCTTTTAATCTTTTGTTTTTTCCATGAGAGGACTGTAATCAGCCCCAGAAATGGAAGGGACTGTACGTATCATTCAGTGCCAGCCTGAGGGCAGGGCTCCCTTCGGCACAACGAGGGATAAAAATCCTCCACAGCTATTTTAGTTCCCCGTAACATGAACACCCCCACACACAACCCCCCGTAGCCTCGGTCTGCCTTTGCTATGAACCATTTGACCTTCTTTTGCTGAAACTGGGTTTAATGGTAAAGATTTTTTTATGCCTTTAATTAGCAGCAAAAAACTTTCTCACTTGAACCCCTGTAGCCACCTGCTCAGCTTTTGTGTGTGTGCCAGTGTGGCCTCAGCCTCTGTGACCTGGCGAGGGATGCGTGCAGGGTGCCGACCAGCTCTTAGGTGCAGAAGCAGCCTGACTCGCCCCACATATCTGTTTATTTTTGGCAGGCATTCAACTCCGAAACGGACAGCTTCAAGCTGGCATATGGAGGACACCAGTATCACGCCAGCTGTGCCAACTTCTGGATCAACTGTGTTGAACCAAAACCTCCCGGCCTCATCCTGCCTGATTTGCTCTGAAAAGTACCTCTTTGAAGTACCTACTGGGTCTGTTTTCCCATCATACCCCAGGAGGAGACAGGGACCAATGAACAGAATGCAGGACTGCGCAGTTCGCTTCCACGAAGCTATAGGAGGAGTTCCCTGCACGGTCAGGGGTGAGAAAGAAGCTGCGAGCTCCCAGTCGTTCCTGCAGACATTTGTCCCCTAGGTCCCACCACAAGTCTTAGGGATTTGAGGTAAAATTGCCCTGCCCAAACTGCATGTGGCACCAGAAGTTTGCTAACTTCTCTCTAGTTCTGCTAAGATGTTTTAAAATATGGCACGATTTTCTTTAAGGAATCATTTGCTGCTGCCGTATATTGAAACTGTGAAGAATTGACATTTTGACGTTTGGAGAAAAATAAATTGTAATAGGATTGGAATTGGCAAGAACGTTTTGAGCCAGTGCTCGCTTCTGTCTAGAACCCTGCTGTCCTGTGAAGTAGAATGCATTTACCCACATGTAGCTTGTTGATATCTGAAATGAATAAAAAGGGGACATTGTGACTAAACTGATGTTCTTTTTATCGAAAAACTTCCGTTCATCTCCATCAGACGATGGAAGTGGGTGAGGGCAGATTTACCGACTTTGCGGTCACAGCTGAACCAGTTCTTCTTTTGTTCATTTCTCAAACTATCAGCGTTCAAGAAGGCATTTTCTCAAAACACGCCTGGGTGCTTTGCAATGGATTGAATGTTCATTTTGACAGAGGCCCAAATCTTTGTGTATCAGGATGAATAAACACCCTTCCCCTTTCGGAGCCTTCACTGAAAACTTTCTTTTACCTCAAAGACTGTGAACGTGGTATTTTTTGCAGACAAGTTTCGGAAAGGCAGCTGGATGAAACCTCTTGGCAGTGGCCTTTGTCCAAATGTCCAGAAATGACTGACTGCATAGGGACCAGTACTGCCTGACTTCGCAGTATTATGTGAGAGACCTGAAAACTCATTCACAGTTGGAAGGTGGAGTTCCTGGCCTACTGAGGCAAACAGATGTATGTATATTTATGGTTGAGGTACATGACTTAGAAACAGTGGAAGCAAAGTGTTCAAAAACTGCATGGAATTCTGGAAGGAAAAGGCTCATGCTTGCTATCTGGTGTAGGGAATTTGCCGCTTAGAACTGAATGCATAAAATCAGAAAGAAAGGAAAAAAAAAGCGAAGTGGCTAAGGACTGTGAAGCTGTGAAGCCCTGGGAAGAACAGGCCAACCTAGGACATACACGTCTCTGACTTGTAAATTCTGTGCTTTACAAAGAGATTTTGACTCTTGTGTTTCACAAGTTGTGTGACTTAGGCTCTCTGACCTCGAGTCAGTTTTTATTTGTGAACTGAACAAGGTCGTTTTGGGTATAAAATTGCCGTTTTACATAATTAAGTAGGTGGTTTTCCCTTCCTGGCACTAAACTTGAGGGGATCCTGTTCTATTCCCTTAGTGGTGTCTTCTCCAAGGAAGGTATAGGACGTTTTTGTTAAACAGCTGTTGATGAGGCTTCTGCTTTACCTTGCTGGGCCCCAGAATGCACAGGGAAGTGTTGACGAGATAAATCTGCTTCTCATTTTCTCCAGATTCCCTTCCAGCTGGGTGACTGACACAGCCTGAGTTATTACCCTCAGGGCCTTTGTCCTCCACAGGGCTACCTGACTTAGTACCCACAGCATCAGGCTGGGTCCTCAGGCTTCCCTGAGGCCTCTGTCTCCACTTCAGCGTGAGCAGCACCTAGAGTTTCATCACGGCGCCAGGACTGAAGCGGGCCTCTGACCCGTCTGGTACATTCCATGGTAGGGCAGGATGACCGAATCTGCCTTTGTTTGCAGTTAAGAATGTCTCCCAGTTTGACAGGATTCACAGCGCTGAGACAGTTTCTGGAAATGCCATATGGGCTGCTATTCTGTCGCAATGGCCTGTGTCAATGACATTTTTAACGTGTGCTCACCTGCTAACCAGAATGGTTCCATTCCTAGAGAGGTTGCAGAGCGCAAGGATAATAATCACTGCCGGCCTCACCAGGTACGGCAGGTCTGGTCACTCCATGGGAGGCGCTAGAGGCATATACAGCAGACGCCAAAAGGCTTTGCTATGAAAAATACTGTTTAGTAGTGGAAATGTTCACTCACATACCACCACTAAGGATTTCCAGAGTGTGGAACCATACCCTTGCACTTTCTTTACGTGTGCAAGTTTATTCAGACGACTCAACACTGCGCTCGTCTACATCTCGGCTCTGACGCGCCAGAGTCCAGTGTCCTTGGAAACAGTAACCAAGGTTACTTCTTTCCGTACTGCGTGAGGTGCCGACAGCTCCCGCCCCGCTGCCTGAGTGGCGGTGAATAAGCGCTTTTCTCTTTTGGTATTGTGTTTTGCTTTTAGACGTTTTATGGCTTAGTGTGTAACTTAATTTTTGTCTGGACGTGCTCAGTGTAGAGGCGGCACAGGGTATGTTATTATCCGTGCCTTATTTGTCCTGTGACTACTAGTTAACACTCTAAATAGGTTGCATATTCTAAATTACTTGAATATTTTGTACGCATGTACCTATGTCTTGTTTAAAGATGCCTTCTACTTGCCTTTTGATAACTTGTGTGATCCTAAGCTTTGGTAAGATTATAGGGCCTCTACATTATAGAAACTTGAAATGCTTGCCCTGCACTGGGGATCACCACAGAAATTCCCCTAACAAACACCTTCTAGGTCACACACCTTCCTTTTGTGACCAGCTAATAAACTCTGACATTTAGATTAGAAAGGTGTTAGGCTTCTTAAGTACTAAGAATGCTTAGTTACATCCCAGTAGTGGTGTTGGCTGGGATTTCTGCCGGAAATTTTCCTACCAAGAACATCTGTCACCCGGTGTTCTCTTACTGTAGTACAGTGGTTATTTTTGGACTCTTATCCAAAGACTACAGGACTTACAGTTTGCCTTCATACTAGAAAAGCCATAGCCTCCACAGCCACGAATTGCTTTGTTGTTCTTTTGACTGCTTTTCGATCATGTGCTAATTGACGCAGCATTCATTTATGGGTTCCTCTGATTTCCCACACAAACTATTAACCTCATTTTAATTTTCCTATTTAGACTGTAGTACATGTTTATAAAAGTGAATGACTGGGAAGAAACAAGGTAGAATTTGGATGAAACCACTGCCACGGACCAGATAAAAATCTAGAAAATATAATTTATATAAATATGTAACCACCGGCATATTTATGGCTTGTCAAGACGGGCCAAAAGCCTAGAAAATTATTCCACAGAGAAGCAAGCTACAACCTACGTGGCAAATGAAGAAAGATAAAGCAGCACTGTGACTGAGCAGGGGCAATCTGATGGTTCCCAATAGTTTGTGAGGAGTGTGGAATAGGGAAGAACTAATTACACTTCTCCCAAGTCCCTGATGAGTTATGCTGTCATATTTATTAGGAGCAGTGAACTGGATGACATGGTTCCAAGTTTCAACAAAAGAAGTCATTGTTGTTTGATGGTCACTTCTATGGAGGTTTGGTTTAGGACATTTTGTGTGGAGCAAAGGCATAGCTTTTGTTAAAAAACAATTTCTTTGATGGAGGACTCACTGCTTTGGTGCACTCCAGTTGCCAAAGACATCCGAAAACTATCTTTTATCAGAGTGGACACTCTGTGCTGTTTTCCACAGCTTTAGCACTGTGACTGATATTAACGTCTGCCCATCTGCAAGGATGTGAAACGTTGACACAGTTCAGCCGAGAGGTCTATTTTAAGTGGCATAGTTGGGGCGCCTGGGTGGCGCAGTCGGTTAAGCGTCCGACTTCAGCCAGGTCACGATCTCGCGGTCCGTGAGTTCGAGCCCCGCGTCAGGCTCTGGGCTGATGGCTCGGAGCCTGGAGCCTGTTTCCGATTCTGTGTCTCCCTCTCTCTGCCCCTCCCCCGTTCATGCTCTGTCTCTCTCTCTGTCCCAAAAATAAATAAATGTTGAAAAAAAAAAAAAAATTAAGTGGCATAGTTGTCACCGGAGCCGGATTTTAATGCAGTTACTGGAGAGCATCTTTCTTCCAGCATCAACGCACACATACACACACCCTGGAGTTCTTAGTAAAAATTCTAATAGGTTATGCAGATATATTTATTAAAAATAATGCTAATGTAGTCCTGGGGCACAATGATTCCAAGAGGGTGTTTGCAGCAGATTTCATTATAATTACTTAACAACTAGATAACAAAGGTTTTTTTGTTTGTTTTTGTTTTTTAACTTACAGAGTCACTAAATAGGAAAGGAAAGAGTAGGGCTAATCCAGTAGAGACTGAAGCTGGTATCAATCTTCCCTAAGCATTTGTGTGGTCAGCAGCCTTGGGCAAAGCTTGTCTCTAAAGGGTTAATCAGGACCCAAAGTGATTTTTGCACTGAGCTCCTCTGGCACCTGCCATGATGCCTAAAGGCATGGGATTCAGAATATAGCAGAACCAAACAGTTTATTAAACTGTTCAAATTGTTAAAAATGATTAAAAGCCAGTTAAAGATTTTCATAAACACTATTCCAAAATGTTAGTTTTAAAAATGTTACTAGCAATGTATGCATTCCCCTTATGTTCCTCCCCCCCACCCCCCATCTTTTAAAATAAACCTGAACACCCAGTGTAAAAAACACTTCAGGGAGAGCCAGGAGTCAACCATTTGAAAAGAAAGGTGAAGAGGGGAACAGACGGTGTGTAGCAGATGCTGGTACTGCTCAAGGGGCTGCTGATGCAGGCTTTGGTGGCATTATATCCCCCAGTAAGGCATCAGGTGTCGGGACTCTTTCTCATAAACGTCTGGAACTATGCCATAAGGTGTCTGTACCATTTTAACTGTCGACTTCCCAAAGAGCTGGCGCTCGTAGTCTATCAACTGCCTCCAGAAACCTACGTTGGGCCTGATGACAGGCCTACGGGCTTTCACCCAGTTGTACGCCTCCAGCAGGCACACACTGTGGAATTTCATCAGGTAAGCGATGCAGAGAGTGGCCGAGCGGCTCACCCCCGCGGCACAGTGCACCAACGTGGCCCCATGCTTCCTGCTCACACTGTGGATCTTGTCGGCCACAGTGTCAAAGTACAGTCCAATGGGGGCATGGGGCATGTCAGCCAGAGGCACTTTAACATATTCAAATTGGGGCCAGTTGAAATTGGGGATCTCAATGGTAGCATTAACGATGCAGGTGATGCCACGAGCTTGGAGGAGGTGCCGGTTGGAGGCCACACTGCCTCTGCCCAGGAAGAGAGAGGAGGTAATTTGAGCGATGCCTCCTATGTCTCCCTCAGAAATCATCCGAGGGGCCATGAGAGTCCGTGGGAGCGTGCTGTGACCTCTGGAGCCCATGAAGATGCCAGCAATCACACTTGCATCGTTGGCAGCAAGACCAGAGGGTTTTGTGTTCCTCCACCAAGGAATCCAAAATCAGTGTCCTTCCTGCAAAACACAGGTATCTGTCAGTACTTTAAATGCTATCGATTCTTGATTCATCATGGCCTTCTATAGTTTTGTGGAATGGGAAGGTGAAAGGATTAGAAGTGGTCATTTTCTATAATAGACTCCATTCTTTCAAGGATGTAGACAAATCATTTCCTATTGATTAACAGGAAAAGTAGCCTAAAATCAAGGTTAAAACTCAGCTCTCTGGTGATTCTATTAAAAAAAAAAAAAAAAAAAAAAAAAAAAAAAAGAGGCACTAAATGGAAATAGTCATTCTATTTTAGAAATAGTCTAAACTCAGAAACATGCCCAACTGGTTCCTGAACAGCAATCCTGCAGGGCCTTGCTCGAACTGAAGGGAGTGGTGTTCCTTGGTAATTAGGAAGAAACGAGAAATTCTGATCACTCCTGTAGCCATGTTCTTTCATACACTTCTTGCCTACTTATGCTGCTATGATTGCTATTATCTTCCTAAACCTAGTTCTAGACATAGCAATCTTATAAAGGTATAAAAATGATCACATTAGGTAATATATTAAAGGAACTGCCTTTATGAACTAAAAAGATACTGAATTCACAATGAGTTCCAGAAAAGCCAGGACATTTGGTCACCTCAGCCCTTCCTTATTTAAAAAACAAAATAGCTAAATAGTAACTTGTGCTGTGGTGTCTCCATGGGAATAACCCAAGGCACTTTGAAGGCCATGATCTCAAAAATACAATAGTCTCGGGCCACCTGGGTGTCTCAGTTAAGCGCCCGACTTCAGCAGGGGTCATGATCTCACATTCCGAGAGTTTGGGCCCCACATCAGGGTCACTGCTATCAAAGCAGAGTCTGCTTTGGATCCTCTGTCCCCATCTCTCTGCCCCTCCCTAGCTTGCGTGCTCTTAGCAGAGCATGCAACTCTTGATCTCAGGGTTGTGAGTTGGACCCCCCAAGTTGGGTATAGAGATTACTTAGATGAGTTACATAATTTAAAAAAATACATTAGTCTAAGTTCATGAGCAATTTCGGCTGACCTGACCCTGGGTGTGGTTAAATGAGAACGTCACCTTCCGCAGACAATTCTCAGCAGCAAGATGAATCCCACTGGCTTCAGATGCGTGTTGAAATTAAAATGTAGTTTGATATTTGAAAATCTACATTTAAATTAGTAGAGTATTTGACATAAAAGACTTTAATATTATATAATGCCCATAGAGTAAACCAGTAACAAAAGAAATGGAAAATATTGGTTTCCTGAGATTTCAAGACACATCACTTTCTCACACTGCTTTATAGTCTGGGCCCACTGGGAAGTGTGTTCATCCCCACCCAGGGTAGGGTAGGGGCACCTAAAGTGATTTCAGGTGAATAAGAACACTTTCAGTTCCACGTACAGAAGTGGTGCTGGAGCCACTCACTTGTGAGGAATCTGGTTACTCTGCAGTCCTGGGTCAGGATCTGGAAAGTCCTAATTCAGAGTGTTGATCACAGTGGATACAAATCAGATCTGCAGAAAGACAAAGAGGCAACAATGTAGCCAATCAGGAAGTTCAAAAGAATTCCTCCTGGGTTTTTACTACTAAATTGGGTTTGACTGGAACAAATCTAGGGAGTGGAAAGCACGCTAAATATATCTAGATGTGCATTTAAAGGATGTGCCAGTTTGGAAGTATCAATCTAAGTCTCAGCTTTTTGTGAATGACATGTAACCCACGGTGTGACAAACATTAAGTGCAGTTTGGGCCATAACAAGTTTTTTGAAAGGAAATGTAAGGCACTGCTCAATGGGCCCAGAAGAGAGGCAGAACAAGCTAGAGTCTCTTCCACGTGCCCTCAGCTAAGCCAGGCGCAGGGGGCCAGCTTCACAAATGCTACCTGCAGGAGGTGCTGGTGCTGCGGACAGCATCGGAAATCTCATTCTCTCTTCCAAATTGGACATCTTAGTTTTTTGTTTATGTAACAGTATGATGACCACCAACAAGCATTGTTAAAAATGGGTTCCTCCCCTACCTGTCCCTCTGCTTTTCCCAGGTAACCATCACATTTAACTTTTTCCACAGCTCTGTTGAGGTATGACTGACATACAAGTTGATACACAACTTGACCAAGTGTACAATTTGAGGAGTTTTCAATTTTTGAATTCTTTTTTATTTTTGGAGAGAGGAAGAGAGAATGTGTGCAGGGGAGGGAGAGAAGGAGGGAGAGCATCCCAAGCAGGATCCACACTCAGCATGGATCTTGATCCCTTGACTCTGAGATCATGACCTGAGCCGAAATCAAGAGTCAGATGCTTAACTGACCGAGCCACTCAGGCGCCAATGAGTTTTGAATTCTGTGTATATTCGACACACCATGATCTCAACATAATTTGATCCATCACCACCTCCAAATTTCCTCACGCTCCTTTATAATTCATTCCTCCCTCACCCTCTAGCCCCATTCCCAAGCAACCACTGATGTTTTCTGTCATTATTTTTACATTTCCTAGATGTTTATAAAACAGAATGATAATATAGGTTTTTTTGTTTGGCCTGGCTTTCTCACTCGGCATAGTCTGACATTCCTCTGTGTTGTTGCATGTATCAACAGTTCATTCCTTTTTAGTGCTGAGTAGTATTCCATGGTATAGATGGTTTATTCACTTACTGATGGAAACTGGGTTGTTTGTAGCTTGAGGCTATTACAAGCAAAGCTGATGTATAAAATGGTGTAAAACATTCATATATAGGTATCTGTGGAGGTATGCCTTCCTTTCTCTTGGTTAAATACCTAGGACTAGAAGGGCTGGATCATCTGACATGTTCCTATTTAACATTTTTGAAAAGCTTTAAAAATAGTTATAGCATGCGGCTTGAGGGGCAGGCTTCTAATTAAACACACATGGATGTAATAAGCATCCATTGTCATCCTCTCCCTCCTCTCCCAGCGAGGAACTTGGGATTAACTGTTAAGTGCCCAGACATGTATCTGGTGTCCTGGTTTTGGTGGCTGCCACCAGGGGACCCACTCACTGCCTGCCAGCTCTGGTGGTCAGCAGGGCTTGCGCCTCTGCACCCCATGAGATTGTTGGAACTGAAGAGACTTCAGCTGGCTACCCCCAGGGCACTGCACAGACAGCCAACTGAAACATACCCTCTGCCTTTCTGTGAAAAAGGCTATTGCTTGTTCTGGAGCTTGAGCCTCTGGTGGAGGCCAGGGGATACCGTCTCTGTGCTTTCCCTCTGCCCCACTCTAGGTCTCCAGTATCTCCTGGAAAGGAACTTGTATACCTGTCTGGTGCCCTGATTTTTGTGACTGCTGCCCAGGGGGGCACCTGTCTGGTGCCCTGATTTTTGTGACTGCTGCCCAGGGGGCTTGGCTGGCCAGTGGGACAGACAACTTTTGCAGTCCCACAGGATTATTATGTATATCTGCGTATGTTAAAAGCTGCTGACTGAGATCCTCCCCTTTAGAACATGACCTGTCACATGGCCAACTACTAGGAGCCACTAAAAATAAATAGGCTGCTTGGACAATCACAAAGGTTTGAGAGAAAACCAAAACTAAGGCAGTATTGAACAATCAGGTTTATCTCCTGCACGAGGCCACTCCTTCAAGACTGGGAGAGGTGGCTATCTAATGCATAGAAATCAACACAGAGTTGAGGAAAATAAAGAAACAGGAATATGTTCCAAATGAAAGAACAAGATAAAATCTCAGGAAACGAGATTGAAGTGATTTACCTAATAAAGACTTCAAAATAAGAGTCACAAAGATGCTCACTAAACTTGAGAGAAGAGTGAACACAGAGCTTCAACAGATAGATGATATAAGAAAGTACCAAATAGAAATCATAGCACTGAAGAACACACTAACTGAACTGGAAAATATACTAGAAATGTATTAGAGGGTTTCAACAGGAGACCCGTATGACACAATCAAAGCAGCAAAAGAATGAGAAAAGTGAAGACAGCTTAAGATACTTATGGGACAACATCAAGTGGACCAACATTCACATTATAGAGAAAGTAACACAAAATGTATTTGGAGAAATGATGGCTGAAAGCTTCCCTAACCTGGCTGGAGAAGGAAACAGATATCCAGACTGAGGAAGCTCAGAGAATTCCAAAGAAGAACCTAAAGGGACTCACACTAAGATAAATTATAATCAAGCTGTTGAATGTTAAAAGACAAGGAGAGAATAAAAGCAGTAAGACAACTTGCTACATAAAAGGGAACCCCCCCCCCAAGAGTATCAGATTTTTTAGCAGAAACTTTGCAGGCCAGAGGGGTGTGGCACAACATATTCAGGGCAGTAAAAAAAAAAAAACTTCCAAGAATACCCAGCAAAGCTGTCATTCAGAAGTAAAGGAGAGAGTTTTCCAGACAAGCAAAAGCAAAGGAAGGAGTTCATCACCACTAAACTAGCCTTGCAAGAAATATTAAAGGACTTCTTTAAGCCAAAAAGAAAGTAATGGGAAAACACGTAAAAGTATAAATCTCACTGGTGAAGGTAAATATAGTAAAATTTAGAATAACAATGTAAAGGTGGTAGATTAATCACAAGCTAGTATAAAGGTTAAAAAAACAAAAGTAATAAAATTGTAAATACAATAATTAGTTAAGGGATATACAAGATAAAAAGATGTAAAATGTTGGGGCGCCTGGGTGGCTCAGTCGGTTAAGCGTCCGACTTCGGCTCAGGTCATGATCTCATGGTCCGTGAGTTCGAGCCCCGCGTCGGGCTCTGTGCTGACAGCTCGGAGCCTGGAGCCTGCTTCGGATTCTGTGTCTCCCTCTCTCTCTGACCTTCCCCCGTTCATGCTCTGTCTCTCTCTGTCTCAAAAATAAATAAACTTTAAAAAAAAAAAAAAAGATGTAAAATGTGACATCAAAAATATAGAATGGAAAAAATGTATATATAAAGTGGGGGGGGGGGAGG